AACTGCTACTGCAGGTGACACTTGACAGGGGAAGGTTTGGACTTTTTTCCCCCCACCATTACTCCAGGGAGGTAAGCCAATAGAGAATCACAGACAGGCACACATTCCTCAGACAGTTGGTCAGATAGCTAAGCTCTTTTTAGTAGGATGCCATTTTTTCTACTTTTGATGCCCAGGTTAATACAGAACTGGAAACATGACAAAACCCACACAAAAGGTGGCAGCAGAAGGAAGGGAATTGGATTGCAATTTACAGCTGCAAGGAACCAGCAAATAAGTTCAGCTTAAAGATCAATCCACACCATTCAATTTTAAGCAGCTAGCTCACTGTGCAGCTCAAAACCCAAAAGCTAAAACAACAGAGTCTGTCTCCTTATTCTAACACAGACCTAAGCTGAAAGTTACCAACTGAGCACAGAAGTGACTTCACAAGATAAAGGTTTTGTTCCCTGTCACATTCCTGATACAGACACACTGAGATATACAAGGGTTATATGCAAATCCAGCAACCAATCCACACACTGGCATTAAGAGTTGGTTTAAAAACCTGTGTTTGTTTTCAGTAGTGCTTTTACAGCCACCATCATTAAACAGTCAAGAAAAAAGGAGGATGAAACAGAAGAAAAAAAAAGCTTATGACAATTTCTGGATATAAAATTATTCTTGGAAGTTACCATAAAAATTATGCATAAACCTACTCCTTCTTGAAAGTACTTTATATCACTGAATGCAAATTTGATTCATGGTTTAATTAAAGCTTGTACAAAATATTCACTTAGAACAGTTTAAAAGAACCAGCAATCCTACCCAGACATAGAAGATTTCATCCAATACAGTTGATTTGGCACTTATGGAGGTTGAACAATCTGTAATTAAGTGAAATGAGACTTGTATGGGAATACCAAGAACATTAAGACTATGTGACAGCATGGGAATTATTTGCCAGTGAACACTTTGCTTTTACTGCTTTTTTTTTTCATTACCATGTAAAATTTAATTAAAACAAAGTCAGAGACTTAGCTTGTGTTACATCCACTTATTAACTGTACCGCTCACCTTTGGACCATTCATTAGCATGCAACTAAATTTAGCATTTAGTATACAACCTTTTCTTTCTCTTTTCAATCACTTCTCTATTTAATTTCCTCCACCACTCCAATCCCCAGCTGAAGCTTTAAAAACAATCATGACAGCAAGTTATTAGGTAGCATTTTGAAGCAGGCAGTAGCTGAGAAAAAGAAAGAAAACTAATGCTGATCTAGATCCAGTGCAGCAAGAAGGAATGATCTTCTCTGAGTATTTCACAGAAACAGTGACAACTTCAGCTTTGAAAAACATCCTCCAAATTATCATGTTTTTCTACACATTCCCTTCCAATAATATCTATTCAAGATTTTTAAAATGTGTTCTCTTTCCAGTATGAAAAAATCTGTCGCTAAGTTACTTTGCAGGTATTCTTGGGAACCCTCCCACTGCTTGCCTGGTTATCCCATTACTGGTTTTTTTTCACATTTAAACTATATCCCAGTTGCATAACAAAATATACCACTCACTACATGTTTTTCACTTCCCATTCTACCTCATTCAAGTGTATGACACGTAAGAACAGCTAGAAATTTCTGCATCTCAGTATTCCTATGAAAAGGTGAATTTAAGTGGCAGAAGAAGCTGGGAGCAAACACTCAGACTCCACCTTTCCAGATGCTGTTCCCAGCAGAGACAGAGCTTGGATTCTGTTCAAACTCCAGAAGCTCAGAACACATGAGTATCTGCCTGTTCATAACAGCATGATGAGAGACAGATAACTGGCAGTTTCCACTTACTACAGAGCACAAAGTATACAGAGAGGGAGGAATAAAGAGATCCAACCTTGCTGACAGCAGAATAACAAGTCACATCATGACAGTCCTATCAATGGTAGAGCTATTTTAACGAAACCCAAAAATACGGATTTTTGTGAAGTCCTTGATTATGCAAATTAAGTCAAATATATACCCATCTCTGTGTCATTACAGACCCTTCCATGTAAATCCAGACCCTAAGCTGAAACAGTAAGGTGCTAAAAATAGCAAAATTATATTTTACGTAAATTTAAAACATTTTAAAAGAGCATGTTTCCACTCCCATGCTAATAATAATTTAGTATCAAGTACCATCATCTACAAGAGAAAGAAAAAAAAACCATCACAATGAAATGAAGCAGTTCTCGCTTCTCTTATCTCCTACCAGGCAGTGAATATGAGGTAAGAAACTCTGAGAAAAAGAAGAAAAAAAAAAAAAGAACAAAAGGCCTTTTTTTTTTTAGCTTCTGGAATTTCTGTGAAGAATTGCTACCTTGCAAATGATATCCGATCTCCAAAGTCTAATTATTGTAGCATTCAACCTTTTGATCCTTTCCTTTTATAAAGAAAAGCAGAGAGAATTTTAAAATCTTACTTGTAGATGAAATTCAAGTTCACACTATATGCATTGCTAAAGCCAGGTAAAATATTCTTCTCAGTTAATACTCTAATACTGAGAAGACAGGAGGGGGGAAAGGAAAAAAGCATGTTAAAAACAAGAGACAAATCTTGTCACAAGAAAAGTTTCTAGGAACAGGTAAGCACAAAATTGCTTCAAGTACAGTCCATTTCTCGAATAAGAGGCAGAGCCATCAGTAGTGTCATCTGAAGCACATAAATTCTGAACATTTTATTTTCTGCACTGTTAAGTATAAAAATACAGAAGACAGATATTCTCTATTTGCTCTGTGGCTTACAAAAACAGAGAACTTAAAGTGCTTCAGTAACAAACATTTCAAGTGAAAAGTGACCTAGCCTGATTTGTAACACAGAACTAAGAAATATACTTTTCTTCAGCATTTCTGCTTTATACTCAACAGATTCAAGCTAATTAAAACATATCTATTCCAAAATGCATCTCTACTCCAACTTCCTATGCCGAATTTCTGTAACTCACCAGTCTTAAAGAAAAATGCAAGAACTCTCTTCCTACTACCTGAAATACTCTTCGATTTAGTTCCTCTGCTACTTACGTCCACCACCCCTCAGTTAAGGAAATACTTTTATTTTCTTGCACAATGGGCATAGGAACAAGGAACAAAGGACAGCATTGCTGGTCACTATGCAAGAATACAAGTAGTCCAGTGAGATGCTCTCCATTCTAAAGCTTTCCTGTTTCCAAAAGTTGTGCGTTAGATCTTCTGTGCCAGAAACTGTCTTTGTATTTACTAGCCTCCCACTCATTTAGTCAAGACTTTCTAATAAAATTTTGCTTTTCAAATACTTTTCAAATCTCTAAACACTTTTGGCATCCAAAGCATCCCAAAATATTCTCCACCTTTTGGTGGTTTTTTTCTTTTTTTTTTTTTTGCCTGTTTTCAACTCCTTTTCTTTGCAGTTCCCCATACCAATATTAACAGTTAAACAAATACTTCCTATTCAGCCACTGCAGAGCACTTGTTATATTGATTTGCCCTTTCCACTCTCATCATCAGAAAAAAAAGACTACAATGAAGTCAAATTTCATCACACAGAGTTCATCCTGTACAGAAGAATAACAAATATGATGAAAGTACTTCATTATCCCCTCTCCAATTTTTAATTTCAGAAATGGAAGGGGACTGATTAAAGTATTCATTACAAGTATTTGACAGAGTTAGAACAATCCAAGTACTAGACCTTCTTTTTTCTGATAATTTCTAAAATTTTGCTTGCTTTCTGTGGACCTCTACTAATTGCTGTTTACTTTCACTGTTGTAACACCAAGATTTTTCTCTTGACACACAAATTAATTCAGAACTAAATATGCAGATACTACTCCTGTTGAAGGAGCTCAACATGGAAAGATAGTCTGAACAGAAATTACTACTAAGTGTAACAGTTTTTACCTAAAGAGGAAATATGATCCCAACTTCAGTTCCACAAAGATCAGCTTCAACTAAATTACTGCTATTCTAAATTAGATTTTGCTATTAAAATAGAATAATTTATCACAAGCAGGAAAAGAAAATAAAATCAGTATTAAGAAATATAATGAAAATTAATAGAGTGCAGAAGCATAAGAAGCAATATGCCATTGCACAAATCTCCAGTATCATATATACTGAACAGCAGTTTTACCATCACATCACAGCTAAATTATAGATGCTAAACATCTAAATGCATTTAAGAAGTGACCAGAAAACATACTGAGGAATAATTCCTTGCTAGCAATTGAGTATAAAAAGTTGGCACAGGAGCTGCAAATCAACAGCAACTGTAAGAGTACCCTGACCAAGTAAAGTTGCACCTTTCTGAGTAGTACTGGGCCACATCCATATAAAAACTATATTGAATTCCAATGTGTAAGAATTTTTAAAGTACTGAAATATTCCAGCTACTTAATTCTCCTTCAAAAAGGGTTTTATTTGTACCATAATCCATACAATTTATACTTGGGAGGTTGGAGACAGCCTCAGCCTATCATTTTGCTATCTTTCAAGTCTATACAGTTGGTCTTTTTACCTGCACAAAATATTTAGCTGTTTGAGGACAAAAATTGTGGACAATTAGTTCCAAAGAGAAGTAAGTAACATAACTCTTCATACGATGAGCTCTTTCCAATTTAGCAAATAAGATGAAGACTGACTGATGCTAACATCTATCTGAAGCTTCCTATAATAAAAGTCACTAAGTTGCATAAAATTAAATAAAACTGTATTAGTTAACTTTTAAATACTAATCAGGACATCATACAGTATTTATTAATAAATGGTTGATTCAGCCACTCAATTAACTATGCACTTCACTAATTTGTCATACACAGGAAAATGTTTATTTATCAGGATCGCCCTATCGACTTACCCTGCTCCAGTTAGTGACAAATTACCACTTGCTGCTTTTACTCAAAACCTTCTGAACATCAACTCACTATTTACAGCAGCTAATCATCCAGGCTATGCTGTTCTTCACCTACTCCACTTAAAACATAATAGTTACTTCTCACTCTTAATTATTTACCTTAGAATCATTTTCCTTGTGGTATTTGGCACAGGATCGAAGCTGAGTTATCCAGTACTGCTTCTCCTTTGCATCAGCAGCTAGAACAGAAAGAAGAAAATGCAAGCAATCACACACAAATCAATACTCTTTTGCACAAGAGGTGACAGAGCAGGGCAGAGGTAGAAAGATTAATTATTTATTAGGATGCAGTATAAATCCTAAATTTATGCTACATAAATACACTTAAGTTTTTCAATGCTACACATCTAAACCTGTACTTAAGAGGCCAGTTGGAAGAAATAAGTTTATGAATCTTCTTCATAGTTATCTCTTCCACGTTAGCAAAGGCAGAACTACCTACCTCAAGAAGACATTTTTGTTCAAAAATTTTCATCCACTTTTGTTTTACTTGCCTGTCTTTGTGAAGGACCCATCACAGCATTTAAATCCATAAAAGCTCTGCACTCAGGTTGTCAATCAGCTACCAGACAAGCTACCAGTTCCCCAGATACTTAAGTGCTTCTCTTTTAATGGAGTTCAACTAAATTTCTCTCTAAACTCATGTCATTCACATGCACGTGAAAGACACAGGAATTTCCCCCAAACATCTTTAAAAACAAGCTTTAAAAATTATTGAAGAGTTTGACTGCTCTCAGATGGCTCCTGTGTAATACAGTAAGTCTGTTTATGAGAGAGGCTTTTCTTTTTTTCTTAAAGTACTGCTACAGGAATCCTCATTAAGAATGGCAACACAGAGTTGATAATTTCAGTAAATATTTTCTCTTACTTCCTCTGCTATTGAGTATCTTAATGGTTATTGACTCAGCATAAAAATTGTTTACTGATTTTAATCAAATTCACAGACATCATTAAATTAAAAGCAGCATATTGTAAGCATTTGATAATTTCAAGTGATTGGAAAAGCATAATGACACAACAAGTGCTCATGATTTCTAGCTGTGCAACTTTCAAAGCATTTTAACAGAAATTCTTCCTGGTTGTTTCTGAATTCAGTTCTGTGTATGAAAGAGCAACACACTGTACCACAGGGGACTCCTCCATGCTCAATCCTGCTGGACAACTGATAAACCGTGGTCATAAAATGAAGAACACTTCTGTTACACTGCATTATGTACCTTGTTTTTTTGAATAACAGTTTATTTTTTTATAAATTAGTTTGATTTGGAAGCATCATGACCAATCAACCATACTGAAAACACCTTAAAATAAGAACACTGCCATTTTTTTTTCTTCCTTTTTTTTTGTAAATATTCCAAAGTAACTCCTATATACCCTGTATTGTTTGTCTTATACTTGGGAACAAGAGATGGGAAAATTTTATGCCACAGGAGCATTCAATTACTCCAAGACTGATAAGAACACAATATCTCAGCAGCCTATCACTGGCATTTTTCCCTTCTCTGGCCCATCATCAGATTCATTACTGCACATTATCTGCAGGATGGTGGAAGGGAAGAACAGTACTAGAAAACAAATGTTATGCTGTGGACAGCAATAAAAGCACCTTTTTCTTCCTTTGGCAGCAAATAAGATGCAGCATTCAATGAAAATCCCACAGTAACAGATTACAGAAGCCATCTTGAAGTACCTTCCATCCCTGAAAGTCTGTACATTTTAAAGTCACATGTACTTAACTCCAGATTACTCCTCCACCATGTTTTAAAATATACTATGTAATAACAGAGCTGTATAGCCACTACTTTCTGACAGCACAGGAAAGTAAAAGAGAAATGAGACATGAGAGAAGAGATGCAGAAGCGGGAGTGGAAGACAAGAACAATTCACCAGGCATTGTGAGCAGCACTGTACCTCTTAATTTGTACATCTCTCCATTTGCAGAGTAGACCACCAACATGTGTGGCACTTCATCACTGGGAGATATTATAGCTCCAGCTAAAGACAAGGCTCCTCGTGGCTTTGGGCTCTGGTTTTTAGTTTGTTCATTCATAAAATACTGCAGAATCCCCGTCTCAAAGTCAAGCACAAAGTACCTGTTGAAAGAAATTACAAGCATACACTATTTCCATAGAAGCTTTTCATGCAATTACCCAACAAAGGGCACAGATTGATCTTAAATCAAGATCATAAATATACAAGGGAGGTTAAAGTAATTTTTCTAATTACAATTTTATAAGGTCCTGTTATTGGACTTGGTTTTTCAGGCGTAAGTGATCTATTCCTTTATTTGTAACACAAGCCACTCAAAATAAGCCAACACCCAGGACTGAAAGGGCACACAAACAAAAAATAAACTAACTGGGGTGTCCAAGTGCACTAGATGAAAGTGAAGGTATTTCAAAGGTGGTGTGTCAACATCAGGAGTTGAAACTATTTCTTTTTTTCCACAAATAAACCCATCTTTCACAACAGCACAGATCCTAAATTTAATTTCCCTCTGGAAATCTTCTATGTTATCACACAGAACAATTATTTAACACTAACCCTTGACCAGTAGAGAATATACAGCAACTTCCTGGCTCAAATGAAGGTCAGTCTGCTGCAACCTTCAACAGACTAGAGCAAAGATCACATAAATGCAGGCTATCCCCCCCCCCTCTTAGCTGCTTCTGAAAAAACACCCCTAACAATCTGGCTAATCCCACTAACATGGGCATTTGTAATACACAGTATTTGTTACTGTTCCTCTAAGATAAGATTCACAGGTCATGTGTGTAAATTTGTGTAAAACATTCCAGAAACTGTGGTTATTCTGACTTCTGTAGCTTTGCATATCCCAAATTTGCTCAAGTTACCACATTTTATCTTGACTCTTTCACAATATCCCCATATGCAGAACATCTCTAACTAACCTTCCCATCACAGAACACTTCCAGGATTATCTTCACAGCCTGCAGTTATTGGTGGTGGTCTACTCCTCTCTTTATTCACACTAAATAAGCCTGGACATGATGCAAGCAGTTATTGCCTAAGATTTACAGAGTTTCAAACACATTGCTTGGGACCCCATCCTTTGCTGCAGTTATGCTTAACCCTCTACTGCCACTGCCTTCACATCCGAGCAAAGATCAAATTCCCTTCCAATTGTTACAGATTAACAATCCTGTCCCAAGAATTTTAAACTAGTGCACCACCACACCCTTCACTTGTGCCCTAACTCAATCTCCTGCAAGCACTTCTGCATCCTTTTCCTCAAGAAACAAATGGAAATCCCTTTTGTAATCATGTAGCAGCTCATCACTTCATCTTTCCTCTGCAGGTTATCTTCGACACAAAGAAGGACTAGAGGAATGGAAGCTGAATGACAACCACATTTGCAATAGTAGTGTTAGAAATAAGGATGCCCTAAAAGGAAACTGCCAAAATTTCCTATTACCTTACTGACTTGTATTGTACCAGTTCATAACCTTCCTGTTGTGTTTGACTTCTAAATGATTTTACAATACTACTCTTCCACTTATAAAGCATTTTTTCTCTTCAGGTTGCTTAGTAGGAGAAAACGATGCACTTAACCGCAGGGGAAAACAGCAGAATTGGAAAACTTTTTTTTTTTTTAAGTCAGACTTGCATATTTCATAGTAAATTTTAATTTTGCTCATTCTCATTTTTCCAGATATTTTGGGAACATCTGTTACACACTCAAGAGAAAAAGCAGAGCACTAGACAGAAGTGACGCCACGCCCCTGAGAAAATTGCACAGTAGTTTGACCCTAGAGCTAATGCTTCTCCCCATCATCTCTGAGCTCAGCAAACAAGTCTAGACTTTATATGCAGTGATGTATATGCAGTGATGTTCATTCTGAGCCTCTGCCATCCTCATTATAATTTCATTGTCCTTTTATTGTTCAGGTACAAATAATTTATTTCAGCCTTTGTTATTTGGCCATTTTTTAATCGATTACTACCTTGGAAATCACCATTGTGGTTACTAAAGTACAGCTCTACAATTAACAAAAGAAGGAACAACAGCAAGAAGACAAAAAAAAAAGGAAAGGAAAGGAAAGGAAAAGAGGCAATAAAAAGTCTCTCCTTCTCCTATTAAGACCAAAGGTTTTGGAGAAAAAAGTTCCTCTGAGTCTATTAGAACAGAATCTATTAAGTTACATAAACACTACGAGCACTTCAGCTCAGAAACTTCTGCATGCTAGACCAGTAAAGCACTCCCAGAATGACTGTAAGCTCCACAAAAATGGGCTTTGCGTTGGCTTAAAGCTACCCCAGGGAAGGAAACCAGCCATTTGAGCAGAGAATATACCTTTACCACCATAATGACACCAGACAGCAGCAACTTCTGCAAATTCCCAAATGCAGAGACGGCATCCTTCCACATCCTTGCTATCACTGCTACAGCAGTAGTGTTAACTGGATTTCTAGCCAACCACAACCTATTTTACGTACAGTGTCAGAAAAACAGAACAACATGACTGGCCTTGCACCTTAGGTTTTTTTGTGATGTTGTCATAGAAGCCTGTAAAAGCAAGCAATTTAGAAATCAAGCAGTAATTTTAAGAAAGAAAAAGGTAACCAGTTTTCACAAGCCCTCACATCACCCTCAAGTATCCGGCCTTCTTTCTTGTCCCAAAAGAATCAGGAACTTTTCACAAGCATTTTGGCCATGACACTGTTCACATCACACAGAATCAAGCATTTCCTTTCCAAAGATTATGGTTTGATGTGCAACTCCCCTCTTCACCTTTCACACAGTGGTATCACAGAAAAAGACAAGAATAAACTGCACAGACAACTATAGCCTCACAAAAGAAGCAGGGAGATAACACACTTTGAAAACTGCTAAAAGGATAGAACAAGCCAGGAGAAGGACTTAGGAATTAAATGTCAAATCAAGCAGTGCAAGGCTTCATACAAAGGAGGTGGAGGAGGGAGGAACACAAAGAGATAGGAAAAACAGGAGCAGCTTTCAAAAACATTTTCTCGCATCACAGACCAAATGATGACCCAATTCAGACCATCACAAAAACACAGAAGAAATGAAGACCAGAGTCTTTCATTAACTGAGGATGGAAAAGCATTACACATATAAAGCAGAAGACAAGGGTACGGGTTCCATTTTAGAAGCACTGTGCTGAATCAAAAGGACAGAGATCTCTTTTTAACTTCTAAAAGTCATTTGTTCTGCCTACCAGGGAAATAACAGCACTAACCTCTCTACAACTGATTCATCTTGTCACCTCAGCCTTATTTCTCTACTGGCCTTGCCCACATGACATCACCTTTCTGTAATTAAATCTAAGATATTAGTGATGAAAACAAATGTACTCTTTAGAGAATAGTCAGGCAGAAGGTGGCAGAGCCCAGTTATGTCATACTTCTCACACAAAAAAAAATCAGTGCTATAGAGAAATTGTGAAACTGTTATTGAAAGATACTTCCAAAAGACAGCTGATTTTATCTGTTATTCCAAAACCAGAATAAGATTTTTTTAAAATTAATAGTCTTTAAAGGAGTCCATCTAGAGGTAAGGTAGAAAATCACCACTTAAGCATTTTTTTTTTGCACATGTATTTTAAACTGTGCTTTAGCAGTTTTAACTGCTAAAGCACAGTTTAAAATACATGTGCAAAATTACAGGCAAAAAAAATGCAGGCTACTTCATAAATGAAGAGACAATGGATTTCTCACTTCAGATTCAAATCCATTCAGAAACTAAAAGCTTCCTGGATCCTCTGGCCCAGCTTCCCTTAAGCTCCTGAGATCCACCAGGATACTCCCCTTATGCCATTCCAGCTGAATGTAGAGGCATTACCAACTGACATGAATTACAAGAGGAAACACCCGCCACACTCTGCAGAGCTGAAGTCTGACACTACCAGAATTGTTTTAAGTCACCCAGGAGTTTGTCAATATGGCCTGATGACAGTTGCTTTCTCTTTTACTTCCCTTATTTCAAAATTAATGCCCTCTCTGCATAAATCCCACATCTTATAAATTCTACAGCTGTCTTGATGAAACATTTGTGTTTCACCGTGCCCTTCATCATTCATCACTCATTCATTTATAGCCATTTAAAAAATTTTTAAATGTCAAGCAGAACAAGATATGCTAGGAAGTGGAACATGTTGCCTTCTGAATTCTTAGAAGGGAAGGGTGAAACGCTGTACTAATAAAGTACTTAAACTGGGTTTGCTTCCACTAATAAGAGCATTTATTAGAGTAATAAATATAACATGTTCATATAATTATATACTATTACAATAATTTATTATTAGCTCCCTATTCAAGAAGACTTTAAGAAAAAGCAGTGACTATGCTTTAAAGACTGATAAAATGCTGGTAGTATAGCCGCACTTGTGGTAGAGCACATGAAAGTGCTCTACCACTAGAGCTCGTCAACAAAGAACAGCAGCTTAACAGGTCTTCCATGAGAAAAAATGACATTTCATCAGTATAAAAGATTTGAGACAATGAAGAATTTTTTTCTTAATTTTAAAAGCCACATATAATTATCAGAAGCACCTGATACAAACATTTCCCACATAATTTACTCACCTCACTGGATTAAAAAATTTTAATTTTCCCATTTCAAGGCAAACTAATCATTTCCATATTCTCCAGAGGAAATGAATACTTTAGTAAGTAAATAATAAAAAATAAATCATACTTCTATGTATTTCATCATTCAATTACACATCATAACATGGTGCACTGCTCCTAGAAGCTGTCACTTGGATACAAACCTGTATCGCGCCCAAAATTATGCTCCCAACAGAAAGAACACCTCAGAACAAGTTTCTCCTTTTCTTCCCTTTTTCTGAACACATCTCACAAACCAACTATCTGAATCCATGTTTTCACTACTTTGTAATCCCAATAAATTTTCAGTGTAGGATTGCTAAATATTTCCATTGTGTAATGCATTCCTAGCAATTTGAATATTCCTTACACCCTTCTTTCCCACTTAAGTCAGTTTTCTGGACCAAATTTTGTACAAATTCCAGTTTGAATCCATAATGTGACAGAGGTTTTTTATAGACATTTACAGCTGGACAACTACAGTCCCAATCAAATCTTCAAT